GGGTGGCATACAAATTTAATAAATAAATAAATAAATAAATATAGTCATGGAGTTCTGTGAATAAATATAGCACTCAATGAGGAGAAATAATCATTTAAATAGTATTCCTTAGGATTTTGCTGTAATATTTGTCTTCCTGCCTCCTTATCTACATTGATTAAAGATACAAGTTTAATGACCAGTGATGTGCTTAATAGAGTCATTCATAGAATATTTTGTATTTTATATAATTTGTCTGAATATGGTTCTATTAATTGTAAAAGCTATTCTGCAATAATTCATTACAGAACAATTTTTATTAAGGTAGTCTATCATGACATGGGTTAATGATTTCTTAGGGTTTTTTTTAATATATAGGTATTTTTTTAAAAGATGGTCAAATTAATGTACAATATTACAAAATGAAGCATCCAATGATTCAACTTTGATACAAACTTTTCTTTTTGGGGGATCCACTCCTCTTGGTGAAATATATGTAGGTTGGGCACGCAGTTGTGGGAAATGTTTTCATTTTTAATATAAATAGGTATGATCTGTGTTGATATGTAATACTGCACCTTTAGAATGATTTTCATGGTAAGTTTGAACACATTTTTTAAAATTTTTCGTGTTTCTTGTAAATAAGCATGTTGGATATAGACTTAAGTTGACCTTAGGGCTTATGCCATATCAAGAATGGCTATTTTTCGCAAGCATTGTGAAACCCTTTAAGAAACAGCAGATCCATGGCAGCCTATGTTCTCTCATTTATTTGTAGCAACAAATAAAGGAAATACCTGCATCTTCTCTGCCTCAAAGGCAAATAACTTCCATCCTTCTTCATGGTTTCGCTTTCTACCCATAACTAGATGAAATGTAAAAGATCTGTGCTTAAACTGCTGCCTTTTAGAGCTGCTAAAGTAGCTTACAGTAAAAGTTTTCTTTATGGTTGTGATTAACTATAGAAGTGTATTTGGGAGCAGTTTCTTTTTGTGAGAATAATAATTAACATTGTACTGTTGTCCTTTAAATATTTATATTTTTATTAGGCCCAATTAATTAGGGCTCTATAACGTGTGATGCTAAATTTCTTGGAAGTATTTTGAAAATAAATGCCAAAATGGAAAGGCAAAATGAATGAATTATCAGTATCTTTCCAATTTTTTAATAAACGTCTATGTGTAATGGGGTCAGGGTTTCATTAAGCACTCTAACCTGATTCTCTGTAAAAGACATTTGACCTAACATCTTACTTATATGATGACATTCAGCTCGACGTCTGCAGCTCAGTCCATGGGAAAGCAGCATTGTTAGCAGGCTTCTGACACCAACTCATTCATTCTTGGCCAGGAGTAAAAGTGTAGCAACTCTATCTGGAGATACAGGTAAAATTAAAACATCAATGAATTCTTTACTCAACTGTATCATTTTAGAAGTCTACAGTCTTTTAAATTTTGTTTTGGAAAAACATAGGGCTGGTTTGGCTGTCGTCTGAATCTTGATTCAGGGAATAATCTGGATTCTTTTCTCTCCTTCCATTTTTCAAATTCTTCTTGCTTTTCTCTGTAAATCTCTAATAATTCAATAGAAAATTATCTAATTTCAGCAGCATAGAGTGTCTGCTTTCATTAACAGGGCTCCCCATCATGTTTTAGAGGAAACTTGTAACGATACCTGTCCCCACTTATATATTAAATTCACCATTCTATAAAAACAGCTTTAGATATAATTAGGTATTAACACTTTGTATTACTGAGTCAGTGAAACAGAACCTTCAGTAAATCAAAATTACTTAATATTTTTCCTAACATGTTACCTATCATTTCATAGTCAGATTCCTACTTAAATTTCCCTCAATTTCTCACATATATAATTTACCAAAGAAGAAATACCATGTTTATGTGAATTTAGCTCGGAGAGATTTGACAAAAAGTTACGTTTTTATATAAATCCAATGTGTCAAATTAATATTTTCTTAATGATCATTTAGGAAATAAGTACTTTCACAACTTAAGTAACAGATTCAATATAGGACCTCTCTGGGAACTTTCTCATATAACATTTTTTCTAAAAATGCTTGTGTATTTTCAGTTGCCTTCAGCTTCAGATTATATACGACAGAATAAGAATTGAATCTATTGCAGCAGAGAGCTATTAGGTTTTTGGATGAAAGTGGAGGCATAAATATTTTTATGCTGCAGTTCTGGGAATAAACATCATTGAACCGAGTGGGATTTATTCTTAGGTAGACCTATGTACAATTGTGTATTTGGTAGACCATATTTCTGCCTAAATAGGAAGAAATGTATTGTCAGGCCTCTAATTTGTAGATAATCCCAGGATAGTTCTAAGCATTCTACTTTTTCTCTGTGTGTATATTAATACTTTCCTTCCTTCCTTTCTTCTTTTCCTACCTCTGGTTCCTGTTCCTGTTCCTGTCTCTTGGGTTTCCTTCTATGTGTTTGGTTAAATATATACATGGGAAAAAAAATAAAATACCCTAGTTATCCCCATTTGTCCTCGTTCAGCATCTTGCAGCCCCATCAGCCCTCTCTCCTTCAAGGCCATAAGTTGCCAAAATCCAGGAGACAGAGCAAAACTTTTTGGCACAGCTCCTGATGTTAGACGGCGAAGGACCGCACATTCAGCTGGGGTAAGTTCCCAAATTGGGAATAAGCTTACACCTGTAATGAAATCATCTTACCTAAGGCTAACTTGGTTCATTTCTTTATCATAGGAAAGTAGTCAGCATAGAGAAAAAAGTGTGATGGATATGGAGTCATACTATTTGCATATTAAGATTTGTGCATTAATACTACCATAATGGTTTGAGGTTATTAGCAGAGTTTTTGTGATCAAAAAGGACTTTTCGTCTAGTAAACTGCCTACTGTCTGTGAAAAATTCACTAGCAAGGAACACGGATTAGTTCATTAGCTTTAAATTTTAAAATAATAGCTTTGTGTTTAAAAAAGAATGAAAACAATAGAAAGACATTTCCAGATGCAAAGCTTATATAACTGACAGACCTTTAAGGGAGGGCCATAGAGCATGGCAGGGTATCTGCTTTGTACGTAGGAGTACCCAGACTCACTCCCCATCATCTGCTGTAAAAGGCTTATGTTTGAAATCAAGAGAGCTACCAAATGGTGTCCATGAAGGGTGGTCAAAAAAGGTAAGATGACAGTTGCAGAAGTGTGACTTCAGTCACACGGTTGCAACTACATCTTGCCTTTTGGGATGCAAATCTTCATATGCAAATAGTATGACTCCATACTAACCCTGTGGATGCTGCTGGAGCTATGTAAAATAGGATAAGGCATTTCCCTCTGTTTCTAACTGTAAACTCTTTTAATATGTTATAAACTGTAGAGAGTAAGGAAGATTACCTTGATGGAGATTTGCAAGATCTGTTACTAAGGCAATGAGGGGTGAAAATATGTTTCAGATAGCATTCATAAATGGCTCAGAGACTCCCAAATTCACTGAAGTATAAGAAGAGGGAGGACATACAGCACAATCAGACTTGCAGGATTCTGTTATTATAGCCAATCTCAATAAAAGTAGTTTTATCCATCCTATTTACTTCCTTTCTTGGTGCAGTCTACCTGGTGGGGCTGACATAAACTGCAATAAGAAAGGATCATTGTCTTTCTTGAAAACTGTAGAAATCTTACAGGGCCAGGATAAAGAAAGGACAATCAGTAACACATTACACTAAACTCAAATGTTTGGAACTGACATAGTGTATTGCTTGAATTCAGCCATTATGGTTTGTAACTGTTCACTTGGTGTGTGTGAGGGTAACTCATGGTTAAGCAGATGGTGCCAAGACATTGTTTATTCAATTAGCCATCATCTCTGCATTCAGGATAGTGCTAAGCCATAAATAATTATTCACAAACCTTAATGACAGGGTTTACAAATCAATTAAATTGTAAACAAACATTGGAATGGCTTAAATAATGTTTCAGTCCAGATAATCAGAACATACTGAGCACATCCTTACAAAATGCAAATTAAAAAAAACAAACTATATATTATGATAGGGTTCCTCAACCTTGGCGACTTGAAGATGTGTGGACTTCAACTTCTGGCTGGGGAATTCTGGGAGTCAAAGTCCACACATCTTCAAGTCGCCAAGGTTGAGGAACCCTATATTATGAGATCAGTCTTTTAGCCTCTTTTTAAACTAAAGAATAATTAACAGTGGTAAATTGTAACACCAAAACTTTATTTCTGGGTGCATTTAGCAAGGGGGCTGTCTTTCTGTGGCCATGCAAAATGTCTGAGCGGTCCTATTTGTTCAATATTAGAGTAGCAGGAAAGGAAAGGAAAGGGGACTCTCATCAGTTAATCCTTCATCTGGTAAAAAAAGAACTCGCTCACCTTCTACCTTCAGAAATAAACCAGCTGCTTGGTAAGTAACTTATTATTAACCTGTTTGCATCTTGTATGGTTGCTGTCAGAATTAGATGGTATATAAAAATGGGAAGGAAAACAATTTGAATGTAGAAATGGGAAGAAGATGCATATTAAAGGATCACTTGTATTCTGATTTTTTTTTTCAGACTTGGTAGATAGTCAGTGGGACCTTAACACAGACTTCCCCAATCTGGTAATATCCCCTTGGGAATGATGATGTTTGCAGGCAGGACCATTTAGTGATTACCAAATCTGGGAAAGCTACCTTTGTCCAAGTTGTGTTATCCAATATTTCTGAAAAACTCTACCTGCACACGGAGACATTCATAGAGATGTACATACAATAGAAGTTATTTTCTCTAAGAATAATGCTCTGTGGTTCCCCTTTCTAGACTCTGCAACCATCACAGCTAATTCTCATTAGCAAAGCAGTAAATATCTTAAAGAGGCATTCATTGCTTAAATAGCAATTCTCAACTAAGCCCCTAAAAATTATCTCAGAGTATGGAGATTAAGCTATTTCACTCACATGTTAAAGTTTCTGTACAGCCACAGCAATAATATTCTCCCCCCCCCCACTCTACAGCCATTGCAAGATAAAGATGTTGAATAGAGGTCTTATAGGCAAAGCAGGCATGATAAAGCCAGGAAATTCCTAACTTTTCTTTCAGTAGCCAATGCTATAACACCAATTGTTTTTGAAAGAACCTCAGCTTCAAAAGGGGTTTACTCTGAGGTGGGGGAAGGCTTCTACTTCTCAAAAAGTGCCCAGCCAAAGCCATTTTGGGATTATGGAAATAGTACCGCATTGTTGATTTCAGCATAGCATTCCTATCTGATGCAGAATCTTGTTTTTTTTTGAGAAAGAGAGGCAGATCAATTTTAATAAATCTTTAATAAGCTGTAGTAAGTTGTGCCCCATTGAGGCATATCATCTTCTTTCTGTGGTCCTCTTCATATAAGGTAAGATGAAGTTTCTCAGGTAGATTCTTTTTCTTCCCCCTCACTCCTAAACCTACTTCAGACAGGTAGGGGAGAATGAATAGAGATGGGGAAATGTTAAAAACCAACACAATGGAGTAACAACTCAAGTTACAATTACTGTTCCTCTGTGATTCAAATAGGCATGCCTCCAGATCTTTGCCTGCTCTGCCAGGAACACCCAAAAAGATCATTTTACTTCCTGGATCATCCAAAACACCTTCCATTCAAGCTCGCCCTCCTTCCCCTGGCAACATTCGTCCACTAAAAAATGAGAAAAAGGAATTAATGCAGGAATCTGAGAAGACAACTGAAGAAAAGTCAGACCCTAAAAAAGCAACCTCAAGTCCCAGAGTGGCTGCTAGTGAAGAAGTACTTCCTTGTAAACCAGAGTCTATGCAAAGTAAGGATCAGGTTATCAGCCTTCCAAAATGTTCCTTTCTCAATTAAGTGCTTTGCTCCCTTCTCATTCTGTAGCATTTGGATAGCATTTTGAATCAATGGGGTTAATTGTAACAGGTTTATTTCCAATGGATGAGCTTGGGAAGCTAAGCAAGGTCGGTCTTGGTTACTGCTTAAACAGGAAACCACAGAAACTATCAGGGTTATAGGCTAGAATAGGAAGTTAAGACAATGCCAGACTACCTAAATGTGTCCATGAAATCATCAGAACTCAAGCAAGGCTCAGAGAATTTATTTTCTAATTTTTGTTACTCTGTTTTGTTTAACAATTGACTATGTGCTTTTTGTTTTTTAAAAAATCAAAGTGGAATAATACAGTTTTAATGACTGAACTGAAATACTTGTAATAATATTCACATACGCTATATGTTCTAACTAGTGATGATTTCAAATTTTAGGATTTCTATGGGCAATAATTCATCAGTATCTCTGTCTTGTTAAGGGCAACCCTCACTTAATGGAGCTACATCCTCATCACTAAGTCATGCCCCACAGGAATGCACAACCTGACTATCACCAAGGTCACATGTGGTCCCCCTAAATATTGGGTGTGGTCTTCCAAAACTCTGCCAAAATTACTGAGAAATTGTAATTTTAAATGTGGCAGGGGATTTATTAAATCATAGAAAGTAATTACATTAACTGAATTTCAGAAATTAGTGTCAGTGTGGGCTACCTCAGAGTGCAGGTCTCTCTGTGCTCCTCTGTAAATGACTACATGAAACCACTGAGCGAGGTCATTCAACAGCACAGAGTCCAATATCATCAGTGTGCTGATGATACCCAGTTATACATTCCCACCAATGGCCAGTTAGATGCTGACCCAGTGCCTGGGGAGATTTTGCCCCCCAGGGTCTGGCATTGTATTATCTTTGCTCAGTGAGTTAGCACCTCCCTGGACAGAGCTTGTGTGGAATTTGGGAGTCTTCCTGGACTTGTGGCTCCTGTTCAAGGAACCATGGCTAGAGAGCCTTTGCACAGATTCATCTTGTGCACCAGTTGCACCTGTTCTTAGACCAGGAGGTCTTGTTCACAGTCACTCATGCTTTGGTGCCTTGGTCACGTTCTGTTTGGATTACTGCAAAGTGCTGTACATGGGGCTTCCCTTGAAAACCACCCAGAATTGGTCCAGAATGCAGCAATGTGCACAGTTCTGCACACCCAGTGGTTTGCCTGTATTACACTGCTGCTGCACTGGCTTCCAGTTTCTTTCTGGGTGCAATTCAAGGTGCTATTTATCACCTTTAAAGCCCTGAATGGCATAGGGCCAGGTTATTTGTGGGGCTGCCTCTCCCTGTGGATGTCTATTTTGTCAGGAGTTTCATTCTCATGGGAGGATTCATCCCGTTATCTTTACAACAATAACAAATAATATTTTGGCTACAGAGTTCATGTGAAAAACACCTGTTATTGTGTGTTGTGTATTGTGCTATTGACTGCCACCTATTGGCGTGTGTATGCCAGGTACCCAGTGGGGATGGCATAGAGCTATAATATAAGGAGAGGAAAATGTTCAGCCTCTCAGAGTAGTTGTTAGTT